CGCCCTTTAGCCTATCACCTACAATGTGTTGGAGCGCCAGCCAATAGAAGCGCAAGTGTTACATAGAGATGTCAATTTGCTCTGGAAGTGAACAAAGGAGTAAACACTACAGGAAAGGGAAACCCCCCAAAAAACATGAAAGGGCTTCTGTAATAAATACTGTATGTAAGATATAAAGAATACATTTGAAAATAATGACATGTGGGGTGCATCAGAGTAACTTTACCTCAGTATTCCTGACGTCCTGTCAAAAGGCCTCTGTGTCTGTTTCCTCAGAAGTTTTCCTCAGAAGTATCCTCAGAATCGATTGACTGCAGCTACTCTCATTTCAGATAAGGAAACATGACCAAACTGATAAAAAAGACTGACAGATGTGTGCGATTGTGTTGCTTCTCGTAAAGAAACAGCCAAGCTATATAGCATGTCAGCGTAGTAATAAGAAACTAAATTGGGAAAACAAGATACAAATAAAGGGGTGTTTGTGCTCTGAATTCAAAGCCCTGGTCTGTATGACCAATGGGTTTCTCATCCCTCGTGCTGAGGAGCATCCAGCACAACTTTTTTCGTCAAATGGATTTTCTTACCTCTCATGATCAAAGTCAAAGGCAGATATAGATTATTTATGGTTATGGATCGTCTGGGAGAATCAGGTCTTCAGATGAAGGGCTTTCTAAGGATCAGGAGCTTCATATCAGATAACAACAGCAAGACATGTAGAAAAACTAAGTATTATTGGAGCATTTAACGACACATGCATCAAGTTCTCAGTGGTGTAAAGTAAGTAGATTTACTCAAGTACTGTAGTGAAGTACAATTTGGAGGTACTTGAGGTCAATTTGTTGCTACTGTGTACTTCTACTCCACTGCATCTCAGAGGTAAATGGTGTCTTTTTACTCCACTACATGTATTTAACACCTTTAGTTACTTCACAGATGTGGATGAATGATGTGAAATATAACCAAGTGTTAAATCAGACTTTAGTTCCACCTGGAGTAAATCCACAAGCTACCCTGCAGTCTACAAAGTCATTCAAACTAGCTGCACCTTTACCAGCTTTGAGAACACTTTCATGATCAATCATTATAAAACATATCATATATATTATTCTGAAATGGACTAATCTGCACAATGACTACTTTTACTGTCGCTACTTTCACTATATTTTGATGATAATACTTTTCTACTTTTACTTGAGTAACATTTTGAATGCAGGACTTTTACTGTAACAGAGTATTCCTACACTCTGGTACTTCTACTTTGACTCAAGTACAACATCTGAGTACTTCTACTTTTACTCAAGTACAACATCGGAGTACTTCTCCCACCTAGGCTCTCCTGATTTATTATTAAAGAGGCCAGCTATGATTCATACATTTCAGGAGGTGCCGTGTTGAACAACGCTCCTCTGTTGGCGTCTAGACGGTTTTAACACGGGATGCAGAGCGAGATAATCCCAGCTGTGAAGTTTCGGGGCTCGGCAGCCGTGACCCAGACGAGACCTGAGGGCCCGTGAACCAAAATCCCCCCTGTCACTCATCCAGACCCCCTTGGGGCTATTAGCTGGATCTTAATATGGCACCTCCAGACTGAAAGGGGGTCTGGCAGTAAAGCTCGCAGCCTGTGAATCTCCCAGCAGCTCACTGAGCGACAATTGATGTTTCATACACAACGTAATTGGAAACAGATTTCCTCCGGAGGCCTGCCAGTCAAACCGAGGGTCTCAGACGTTTTGAAACAGGGTCTTTCAGTGTGAGACCAGGGACCTGAAACTGCACCGGAGAGTAAGAGAGGAAAATGATTGGGACGTTCAGAACATTTAACTCGTTACCAATGCGTGTGGGATTTAAAATGACATAATCACCTTCGTACCTGCGCGGCAATGAGCGGGCAATCAGCTCAGGTCTTATACTTTTATACAAAACATATTTGCACGCGATAGAGTTCTACACTGGAAAAAATGCTGCTCCAAAAACAAGTTGTTTTCACTTGAAATAAGTACAAAAATCTGCCAATAGACAAGTGAACATTTGCTTGGTAAGATTTCCTGAAATAAGAAGGGATATTTAGATAAATCAGATCTTGTAATTAGCTGGGAGAACTAATTTTGAACTATATCTGACAAGAATCATGTTGTGTTACAATATAAGCCGCGAATGCTCAAAAGTTTTCAGTTTTCTGATGTTAGTTGGTGATTTTCTAATAAATATGTAAAGAAATATGTGTTTCATCTGAGATACAACTCAAAATAAGATTTTTTTACTTAACAAGATGATGCATTGTCTAAAAACAAGACCCGATATCTCACTGCAGTGTTACTTCTGAAGTTATTATGTCTTATATCAGGAGTAGAGACATATTCTGACTAGATATTAGATACATATACTGGGCAAGATTTCAAGTTTTTGTAGTGTAGTGTTTTTGATGTAGTTAATTTACCACATTTGAATTGTAGTCTTTCTCACCTGCTTTCAAGTAATAAAAAGGAGAAATTGTCACTTTGTTTGTAGTTGAAAAATAACCTCATGTATTATGTCTAATGGATATCATTAACAAAAACTACATTTTTTTTATTTATTTCGCTTGTTTGTTAAAGTGGCCATATTATGCTTTTTAGGGTGTTCCCTTTCATGTAGTGTGTTATATAGAAAACTAAAGAGCTTTTTGAACATTAAAGCATGGAGACGTGTCACACTGACATTACTGTCAAGGCTTCCCTGTCTCGCCTACAGCTGGTCCAGAATGCTGCTGCACGCCTCCTTACAAGGACAGGCAGGTGAACATATTACGCCTGTACTCGCCTCTTTAGATTGGCTACCAGTCAATTTTAGAATACAATTTAAAATGTTATTGTTTGCATACAAAGCCCTAAACGGTTTAGCCCCACCGTACCTGGCAGATCTTTTAAAACCATACACACCCACACGGTCACTGAGGTCGGCTGACAGACTCCTTCTGGTCGTCCCTAAATCAAGGTTGAAGCAGCGAGGAGACAGAGCCTTTGCTGTTGCAGCTCCAAAAGTATGGAACGAATTGCCCCTCCAGGTTAGACTTGCTCCAACTCTGCCTGTTTTTAAATCTCGTTTTAAACCCACTTCTTTTCCCTGGCATTTACAGGGTTTTTATCTTACTAGTGTTTTGTATTGTTTTTACGTCATGTAGAAGAGCGTTTCAGTCTGTGGCTTCTGATCTGGTTTCATTTGTTTCATGTCCTGTCTGTTTTTTATGTATTTATGCTATGTTTTTATACAGTTGATGATGTACGGCACTCTGTTCAACTCTGTTGTTTTTAAATGTGCTATAGAAATAAAGTGGATTGGATTGGATTACATACTGATATGAACCTGAGAGGTAGCATAATATGTCCTCTTTAAAATAAGTGTCTCAACAATGCCAGGAAAACACATGTTGAACCTTAGGGAGCTTTTGAAGTCCTGACAAGTCTAAAACAAACACATTAGGCGCTTTCACGCCAAGTACTTTGCCGTACTTAGTTAATCAGAACTCTTTAGTTCTGATGAACGAAAGAGCAGATCGCGTTCACACCGGAATAAGTACCTGAGGGAGGATTAGGCAAATGAAGCCGCTGACGTCACTTCTTCTTCTTCTGTTTTGGGTTTACTGGCAGGCCGCAAACAACTTCACGGCGTATGAAGTCCCCGGCCGGAAGTCTCCGGAGTTAGGGACTGGCTTCAGTAGAAGCTGCTGGGACTCCCAGCAGCTTCCACTGAAGCCTTCCGAGTAAATCGCCAGAACGCCGACACCTCCTCATCACTCCACCGCTCCCATGTTTTCTTTTGTGTTGCCATAAGTTAGTCTCTCTGCGTTTGTGCGCTGGGCTAATGCTATTGCTAATAATGCTAATGCGAGGAAAATAAAATGGCGGCTTCACAAAACGTTTTGGGAGTTTTACGGGGCGTGGTTTGCAATCCGCCCAGCCAATCAGAAATGGGAACCTTTTTCTCCCATGACAGTACCTGCTCTCTAGCCGGGACTGAAAAGGGGTTATGGCTAGAAAGGATCCGTCTTGTGTAAATATGACGTCACGTTCCCGTTGTAACTCTCGTTGTAATCGGAGCGGCTCGGAAACACATCTACAGCAGTAACATGCAACATACACATGAATGCAGCAGCAATATTAATAGAGAAACATCAGACATAATAGTAAAACACTGAAAAGGGAACATTTTATTGCACCAGGAGCTATCTTGGGACTTTTACTGCGACAACGTTGACTTGCCTGTGAATACAAAATAAACCATAGTGTTGGTGATCTACAGTGTTGTCATTCTTCTTTGAACAGCAAGACCGCTAACACCCTATTTCAACAATCACACTCCCTGTAATTGACATAATTAATAGATAGTTTAGCTTCTCACCATCATTTGCTGTGGCCCACTGATGTTAACAATCGTAACTGAAAGGCTGCCTGCCAAACGTAAACATGTTCCGGATTTTTTTGGTGTGAACGCACATTTTCGGAACTATACTGGGAAAAGTACTATAAGGACTAGTAGAGCAGCGTTTTTTAACCAAAATGTTCACATAAGATTCAGAGGACTCAGTATACAATCATCCAGTCCAGCATCAAACAGAACCACTAAACACATTTTATAATTTACCACAAAATCTAAATTATTTTCTCAGACTAGATATGTTCTTCCCTCCGATTGGACACCAGCCTCTTCATGTTAAAATGAGCTAACATGTGTTGGAGGTGGGCGAATGTGTGCCATCTGCGCAGAAAAGCATGTTTTCCCGAACATGGAGAGAAGAGGATTGCCTGTTGTGTTGTCATGGATACGATGGTAGATATTATCTAAGCAGGCTTCGGGCAAAATGAGGGGGATTTTTTTTTGTATCAATCATTACTCCTGCTTTTCATCCCTGGCTCAATATTTCTGCTTTCATCTGCAAAGCCTTTCAGAGCTCATGTGAAGGTGAAAATACTATGGAAAATTGTCGGCTAAAACCCTCCAACAAAAAATACCAAAAGATAAGATGATTTCTTTAATTGAGAGACATTTATTTAGACATTTTCGGCCCATTTGAGCCACAAAAGCAACGTTATGTTTTACACCAAAATGATATATCCACTATTTAGCTTCTGGCTTCAGGGATTAAAACATCATTTTGGGATGAAACTCTGAAATTAGGTACAAAAATGAAAATAATTGCACAGTATTACGATGATGATGGCATGACGGAGAGATACCTTGTTAACCAGTGAATTTAAAGAGGCACATATTGGAGATGATAAGAGCCACCATCACATCATAGACAGTAGAAAACATGGACGTCGTCTCCGTGAATTCACCCTCAGGTTTCTGAAGAGACCTGCTAATCCAACCTGTCACTCAAACCCTAATAATGCGTCAATTTAAGCTTTAAAACAATCAAATCATCTTTAAAAGTGGATGAGTTATGCAAAAATGTGCACCCATGCAGTCATGAAAAGGGGACATTAGCTATAGAGATCAATACAGATTTTGTACCACGTTGTAAATATGTTTATTTTGGCTGTAAAATTGGGCATTTTAACCTATGGATGTTCTAATAACTGCAGTTTTTGGCACTTCAACACAGGCTGTTGCCACTTGGTTCACATGAACACACACTATGCTGCTGAGGTCAATTTTAAGTGTCAAATCCTCCCCACTATCTCTTCAAATTAGTAAAAAAAACTGGTTAGAACGCTCTCTACTCGCAACAAAAATTAGCGATTTACTCAGATGTATTCAATCGAGTCTCTCCATTGTTGCTGCCGACACAACCACTGAGCTTTATGCAAATTAAACCCCATCTTATTAATTTTAAGCAACATTTGGAGCCAATGCTATCGTCGTTCATTGGAAAAGAGTTCTCGCTTGGACACAGAAATTGATAAAACACATTCACTGGTTTGTAAAGTGTGGCAATGAAAGCATTAAAAGCTTGTCTTGATTAAGGAGTTGGTTTTGACGTAAGGCTTTCCCCATGTCGTCTCACCTGAAGCCAAAAAAACTGATTGATAATAACCAGAGAACTGAATCCAGATCAATATTATCAGACCTTTAAATACACAGCATGTTGTGAATATGTGAATACATTTGTTTACAATGATTATGATTCAGTCGGAAAGAGTAGAAATGAAGACGATGCCAACATGAGAACAGCTGATAATCGTCTACATGCATGTAAACGCTCTGCGAACATGCACTGTAAACATGATGTGATTAGCAAACAAACATCCAGCGTGAAACTGTCAGATTTTTTTTTCTCCTGCTGGACTGGCACAGTGTTCTCGCTCTGTTTGTTAAACCGGACCCCCGCTGAGGAGGACGACAGACAGAACAAACAAACAGAGAGAATGAATGAGGGGGAACGCAGGAGGTTCATTATATCAATCATTTCATGGTTTTCTATGTGAGAAGTGCTGTTAACATTAACATAATATCAAAAGGCCGGGGATGAAAATATACGGTTGATTGCTACCCTTTTCGCATTCTGTACTAAGATCCATCTTGCATTGTATTTGAAAACAATGCAAGCTAATTTAGTTCGGGTTTAATTCACAATTTGGTGACAAAACGTCGTCTCAAGCGGATTCTTTGTAGCTAGACAGGTAGTCAAGTCCCTGCCAATAAGAAGTAAGGCCGAGTAATGGTCGCCCAAAATGTGATAAATAAGAAAAACAGCATTATTCCTGTATTGCAGTGTAGAGACAGCTTGTTCGTATGATAAGGGAAATGTAACGGAGAGTTATTTAATTTCCCCATTTGTCTGCTTTACTTTGTAGTACCTTTAAACTGTGTGTTGTCATGAGAGAAGGTGTGTGTGGAGGGTCACGTTACTCTAAATGTAATCTAATCCAGTATAATGATAAACTCTGATAGCTTCCATTGAATTGAAGTGCTTGTCGTGAACAGAGATTTTCTAACTTTGCCTACTGTTAGTGGAAGCAATGTGGTAGAAAGCATGTTAGTCTATGGAAAGAGAACATGCAGAGGCTGAGTAAACTGAAAAATGTACACTGGAAGAAATGTCAAATTCTCCGACCATCAATACAAATGAATCTCATTTTTCTAACCGCCTGTGGACCTGCTGACACGGCGTATTGATAATCTTCTCTTGCCTCTCCGTGTCGCTCCGCTGACTCGACGTAGCAAAGCAGTAAAACACAAAGCAGGTAACAAAGTCTGACACAGTGGGAGGTTTATTCCCAAAATAATCACCAACAAAAGAGGGTTTTTTTAAAAGTAGAAGACCTCCAACTGAGTAAACCACAGCCAGGTGTCCTCCCTGCTGTGGTTTCCTGCTCCTCTTAACACCAGCATTATAATATGCAAGTGCTTTTGTGCAAACTATGCAGATCGAAATCCGTACTGAGAGCAGTCTAAATTTAAGGGAATACAAAAAACAAACAAAAGTTTTTAAACCAGCATGTGGTTGAAGGGAAGCAGAGAGCGTCCCCTTACTCATGAAGAGAGGCGTCAGGAATGGCCGTCAGTGTCGTCCCGTCACCTCCGATGCCTTTTCGTCTCCTTGTCGTCTCCTCAGTCGCCCACGTCGCTGTCCTGGTCCCCTATGACCCACAGGAAGTGGAAGCTGAGGGCCAGCAGCGCGGTGCCCAGCAAGTCCCCCAGAGCCGTCAGGTAGGGGATGGAGAAGCTGTCGGGGTCTTTGCCGCTGCGCCACATGGAGTGCACCATCCAGTCCGCTATGCACAACAACAGCAACACCTGGGAGAGAGAGGTAAGGTACGTTTATTTATATAGCACATTTTCAGGCAATTCAAAGTGCTTCACATCATCATTAACACTTAATAAGAAGACAACAGAAAGGAACACAATACATAAACACAATGGAATAACAGATTCAGAAACACCATGCATAAAAGAGATACAGAATAGTTTAAAAACAACATTGTAAATACAGTAGGTGCTAATAACAAGTTAAAAGACTTCTGGGTAAGCAGCTCTGAAAAGTAGTGTTTTTAGCCTCGACTTAAAAGAACTCAGAGTGGGTGAAGACCTCAGGGTTTCTGGGAGTTTAGGAGGAGGGTTTGACTGTGGATTAAATATAGAAACCATTCATATGCCGTTAATACCTGTGTAATTTATACCTGGCTGCTAAATCTTCAGAACTGTTACAGGATGTGTATTTTGTAAATTGTGTCATTTATTTGTATGCATGCTTCTTAGGTAACATTAAGCTGTCATTGGCTCTTTTCTGCTGTAACAATGTAATTAGCCGCGTTCACACCGGAGTGCTTTTCCCAGTATAGTTCCGACCAAAAACACACCAAAAAAATAGAACTTAGTTCATGAGAACCTTTTCACCCCCTTTTCAGTCCCTGCTAGAGAGCAGGTACTTTCCTGGGAGAAAAAGGTTCCCATTTCTGATTGGCTGGGCGGATTGCAAACCACGCCCCGTAAAACTCCCAAAACGTTTTGTGAAGCCGCCATTTTATTTGCTCGCATTAGCATTATTAGCATTAGCATTAGCCCAGCGCACAAACGCAGAGAGACTAACTTATGGCAACACAAAACAAAACATGGGAGCGGTGGAGATGAGGAGGTGTCGGCGTTCTGGCGATTTACTCTGAAGGCTTCAGTAGAAGCTGCTGGGAGTCCCAGCAGCTTCTACTGAAGACAGTCCCCAACTCCGGGGACTTCCGACCGGGGACTTCGGGTGGCAGTATACGCCGTGAAGTTGTTTGCGGCCTGCCAGTAAACCCAAAGCAGAAGAAGAATAAGTGACGTCAGCGGCTTCATTTGACTAATCCTCCCTGTGTGAACGCGATCTGCTCTTTAGTTCATCACAACTAAAGAGTTCTCATGAACTAAGTACGGCAAAGTACTTGGTGTGAAAGCGCCTAATGTTCCCTCTGTGGGACTAATAAAGGTATTCTGATTCTGAGTCATCCAGTCTGGGACCATTTGCGTTGTGTCTCCCTCTTTAAACTCTGTCTATGCAATAAAGAGACTGCAGGTGTACGGTAGATATTTCCATCTTTTTTTAAACTGCATCGCTATCTCCTAATAGTAATGTTTTGGGCGGTTGTAACACGTGTGTCGGCCACTGTACAGGTGACTTGAAAAAAAGATATTTCACAAAGCCTACATGGTTACCAAAAGAATAAGAAGACAACACGGGATGACATTAAAGCGTAAAGGATTTACTCATGAAAGACTATTGATTATTTAACTAACATTCAAATAAATCAAAAGGATTAGTTCAATCGCTTTCTTGCCTAGAGTTAGATGAGAAAACTGGCACCACTCTGATTGGTTGCACAGTAAGTATGTAGCAAGTTAGCTTAGCTTAGTTTCCACTGGTTGTCTGGCAATTGGTCCCAAACTAGAAATAGTCGGCCAAATGAACCCTAGTATGGAAAATGTTAATGTTTAAAGGTGTAGTTTAGTACTAACTTACAAAGAAATTCAACATATTTTCAATAATTTATTTAGGGAGCTTCAGATGTGCTTGTAGCATAGTGTATTTCCCAAAACTATTCCTTTAGAAATCCAATTAAATATTGCACAAAGAAAACTGCGGGAAACATTGTCAATAAATAAAAATACAACTTTTCTTAAGATGAATTGTATTAAAGGTCCCATGTCATGGCCATTTCTACTGATCATATTTCCATTGTTGAGGTCTACTAGAATAGATTATATTGTGCAATTTTCCAAACTCACATTGGTTTCTCATACAGCATCTCTGTATAGTATGTGTATTCACTCTCTGTCCTAAACGGCTTGTTGGAGCTCCTGCCCCCCCCTCCTCCCTGTGAGCCCAGTGTGCTCTGATTGGTCGGGACGTTGCGAGGCTCGCTGCTCAGTGAGCTGGCTTACTGGTGTGGTTTCCGGGTCGGCGATACAGCGAGACAGCGCAAAACTCATCCTGAGCACACACAAACACTCACAGCTGAAGTAAAAACAATAAGTGTGGCTTGATATTGAGTAAGAAAAAGGTTTATAAACGCTGTGAGAATGGGTCTGCGGAGAGCATTTCTCCGCCATCCCAACTCGTCTATTACCAGCGTTCAGGGAGCTCTATGCAAGTCAATGGGGACTCCCTGTTAGTTGAAAATGTACGCTAAAGGTCCCTCCACTGCGTTTGATAGTGACGCCAAGGGATCCTGGTGTGTGAGGAGCTCCGCGGATTGGTCCATGTTGGTTCCCGGAAGAAACAAATGGAAAAAGAGAAATGTCCAACGAGGCGTTCTGGGGCAGCATAGACAGGTCTTTTCTGTGTTAGAGTTTTACTCGCTACAGGGTGTACTTTAAGGGTTTGTGACTTTGCAGACCGTTCACATGCATACAAACCTACATAACACACAAGGGGACGGGTAATAACCGGAAAAGCATGACATGGGACCTTTAACTGACCTGCGGTATGGAGGGTTCAAAAGTTGAACTCTTAATAAAAATGGTTGTCAGGTTAATCATTATAATAATCTAAATACCTTTTAGAGATGGGCCTAAATGAGGCAAATCAGGAATGTTATTTGAATTCTTATTTCCTATTATCTTATTGATTCTTTCACTATTTCCCCGACTTGCTTAGTTGTGTCTTTTCATTGCATTACCAAAAAGCAAAAAGATAAGAAGATGCAGTCTGAGCGTAATCCTTGACAAAGAACGATGGAGACAATCTTGTGTTACCTAAGCTTGGAGGAACGAATGCTTCAAAATGCTGAGCAGAAATGCAGAAACACTTAAACTGTATATGGAACGGAGAGGAGAAAGAGAAATGGACGGCGCAGAAAACCGAGAGACGAGTTAAGAGAGAGTTATTCATAATTCAAGTTTCCACACATGGAGGACACGGTGCTGAGAGTAAAAGAGAAGTCTATTAAAAGATAAGAACGGCTCTATAATTTACAGGGAAATGAGCTGTCTAGAGTTGGCACTGCAAACATTTCAAAAACAATAAAGCATGGCAGTCATTGGGAGATATTGACATGTTAAGAATTCAAGCAGCGCTGATGGTGTCAAGAGGAAACAGGGATAGTTGATAAGGATGATATATCACTTTCTGAGCAGAAATACACACTAAAAGTCGACCTGCCAGCTGTGTGAACCCTGAAATGTTGACTACCCCAAAAGCTTTATGTTAAAAATGTACAGTACGGGTCCCCAGCACATAGAAACTGCCGGATGCTAACTTTTTAACTATTGTCTGCATATGCTAATTAACACAACTTATACAATTTGCACCATTTGCATAAGTTGTGTTAATTAGCATATGCAGACAATTAGGGATGCTCCGATCGATATCGGCCGATATTCACTCTCTGCCGATCGATCGGTGCTCTCTATAAATACCGATCGTGAGAGCCGATCACATGACGTAAAATACATGACACCTTTCTCTGTGCGCGGCAAAACAAGCTCGCCAAAATGGCTTCACCGGTCTGGCAGTATTTTAAGGTGTCCGAAAATGACAATAAAATAGCGGTATGCAACGTGTGTGAAGCAGAAATCCTGCAGCTCCACCCGCTGTGACGGACCGGTGAGCGGAGCAGAACACACATTAAGAGTTAGACCTAACACACTTAGCTATTTGATCTACCTCTGGAACAAGCTAAACTAGTTATAGATATGTTTATTCTTCACTGTCGGGTCACTCATTACTGGATCAGTGAGCTGCATGAGACAGATAGGGACCGGCTGTCAGGAGAGAGAGGGGGGGGGGGAGAGAGGGAGAGAGAGGGAGAGAGAGAGATGGGGGAGAGACAGAGAGAGAGCGCGCTTCCGCTCATTTCTCCCGTGTTATTATCCAAAGTTAATGTAAACTTGAATAATGTACTTCATCTGAATGTAATAATTATGTTGGTTGTTGTTTGTGGAAGCTCCAGTGAATGAGCCCCATTAACTGAGTTTTAAACATCACTTTAAATGGAAGATCCCCATAGGCCCCGCCCACTCGATCGGATCGGCGATCGTTATCGGCCGATACTGATTCCGGCTGTCGGCACCCAAAATTGGCGATCGGAGCATCCCTACAGAAAATAGTTAAAAAAGGTCTTGGCCGAGTTGGACAATTTTGGAAGTGGTTTTGTGGGTCGTTGAGGATGTTGAATCAATTTCTGACACTTATAGGATCCACAATGGCAGTTTTGAGTCCCTTGACCCAAAACTTATCAAAATCAGTCCACCAGGGGTACAAATATGGCCACTTTCTGGTTAAAACTGCAATTCTTTTAGCCTGAACATTTTAGAAGTTGCATTAATTAGCATATGCAGACAATATTTCCAATATGGCTTGGCCGATTTGGATAATTTAAGAGTGATTTTTGAGGTTATTGAAGATGTCGAATAAATTTCTGACACTAACCCTAACCCTAACCCTAACCCAATACTTTAAAATCGATCCAAAATTAATCAAAAGCAGCCCACTGGGACTACAAAAAGGACCAATTCTGGTTAAAACTGTCATTTTTTATCGTGAAAATGTCAGAAATTGATTCAACATCCTCAATAACCTCCAAAACTATTTTTTAACTATAGTCTACATGTGCAAATTAATACAATTTGAGCAGATTGTGCAAATTGCCCAACATATGCAAGTTAGCATCTGGTAGTTTCTATGTACTTTGGACCCGTACTGTACATTTATATCATTTCAACATCTCCTGGTTCACAACAGGACTCTGAGGAGCTTGTGATGCAATTCCTTACACACAACATGTCTTCTAGCTTTCCTTTCCAATGATGTTCAGTCATGACAC